ATGGTCTGATTTTGATGGAACAAACTAAAATTTTCTAACATCTATTAAGGTAACCAGGCAACACTGACGCATAACTGGCCTATTACTGCATACTGAATGTTAGCCCAAAAGAAAGCATATGACTAAATCACACCCTCAGGGCAGCAATTACAGCATTATGATATCCTTCTCCTACAGGTCACTTCCTGCATCACAATTATCATCACTAATGGCTGCTAGTGTCTGCTCTGCAGATGATGCTATTTTGGTGTTAGACCCAGGTCATTAAAATACCATCATTTTTATATTAATGCTGTGAGTAAGCAAGTCACATAATAAAAGAAATACATGTAAAAAATAAAATAAGCTGGCCCTCCCTGGTGGCGCAGCGGGTTAAAGCACAGCACTGAGAATCTAAAGCCGCTTCTGCATGAGTTCAATTCCCGCCTGCCCTGGAGGTGACCACATGGTGTGGCAGACCTCTCCTGACCGGCCCGCTGCTCCCCTCAGCAGTGTACTTCGTCGATCTGCCTGTTCTGTTCCCCACTCTGTCTCTGGTGAAGCCTCTCACCGCCCCTGAGCCTCTGGCCTGTACCCCAGTTCTGTATGCACAAATAAATAAATCTTTAAAAAAAAAAAATAAAAAATAAAATAAGCTAAACCAACCAGTTTAAATAAAACTACTGCTGTAGAAAAAGATCAAATGTTAAATAAATCAGATAATCTTAGAACTAAATTAGACAAAACTGAAGAACTATTTGATTTCAGTATGGATTGTTTTAAGCACAGTTTCAGTGTACTTTGTGTGCAATTGATTCTAACAGATAATCCTCTTCTAACAACCTATATAGAGTATTTGTTTAGGTAGTATTTTATAAGTATTAAAAAGGTGTGTATGTTCTATTTGCTACCTAAAGAGTTTAATGTACCTCTGCCACAGACATAAAGGGAAAGAAACTAGAAGGCAAAGCAACATGGAGACAGAGAGACAAAGAACTTTTTTTAAGAAAGGCTTATTCACAAAAATGAAAAGCTATTTGTTCTCCTAGAAAAAGCTTTACAGCTAGAAATGTAATCAGAAAACCTTCAATTTCAGTTGCAAAGATGCTAGCAAGAAAAGGATGTTAATTTCCTACTAAATCTCATCTCACAAATGAGAATTAACTGTACATCGACAAGATAAAATTGAGGATTGATAAGATAAAATGAGACACATTTTTAAGTTATAGAGTACAGGAAAGCATGACTTTTTCTACTGTGATACAATATGCCATATTCACCTTAAATTTTAAAAGAATATAAAAGAATAATTTGAATGTTAAAAAAATAATAGCAATTATTATTGTTAAATAATAGATAAATAGGAAGGGAAAGCTTTCTTTATAGTAGATTGCCAACTAATAACATAAAAGGCATTACAGAAAACCACCATTTTGCAATAATCAGCTATAACTGTTAGCAAGTTATTGTTGTTAAATAGAGTAAAATTTTGATGAGGAAGAGGTATTTTACATATATCAAAACCTCTCCCCAAAACTACTTATTAATCCCAAGGAAAAAAGTAACTACTATGAAAAATCTGGCAGATGCCACCCTAACCAGGTATTAAAGTTAACAACATCAATAAGGTTCATCTGTGCCTCATGAATGACATGATGCATTGAGAAGAACATAGCATTAATCATGCTGAATTTATATCAAAATGTGGAACTTGAATCTAAAAAAAGGGAATACCAGAAAGCCCAGATCAAAAGACATTCTATAAAATAAATAACCTATACTCTTCAAAAATGTCAAAATCATAGAAGAGAAAGATTGAAGGAACTTTCCAAATTAAAGAAAAGATATTAAATGCAATAGGTGCTCCTGGAACAGAAAAGCAAAAATTATATGAAGGATGATATTGTGAAAAATAGGTAGACTCTCAAGAAAGTATAAAGATGATGACTGAATTTCCTGATTTTGAGAACTGTATTATGGTTATAAAATGATGCCCTCCTTAAGAAATAAACAATTATGTGCTTACTTTAGAGGAAAAAAGGCATGATGGTTGCAACTTATTCTTAAATGGCTCAAACATGGGAAATGTTAATGATTTAGTAATCAGGAAGGGTACATAGAAATATTTCATACAATTTTTTTGTGATTTGGGGGGATAAGTCTTAAATTGCTAGAGCATTTTGGATTTTGTCCCACACCCAGCCCAATTTTCAGAATTCTCTCTCTCAGAGCAAAGCCACCACCTTGTAAACCGGCATGTCAGCCAGACACCTTGGAACCATTCTCAGCAATTCCTTCACCTTCAGTCACTAAATTCTGTCAATTTTACTTACCCAATATTTCTCAAATCTATACCTGTTATCTATCTAAAACACTTCAATGGGTAACAAGAAGACCTATAAAACCCTGCACTTGGGCCCTCCCTGGTGGTGCAGCTGGTTAAAGCACTGCACTAAGATTAAGCCATTTCCTCATGAGTTCATCCCCACCTGCCCCGGAGGAGATCTACATGGCGTGGCAGACCTCTCCTGACCCGCCTGCTGCTCCCCTCAGCAGTGTAGTTCGTTGATCTGCCTGTTCTGCTCCCCACTCTGTCCCTGGTGAATCCTTTCACCCTCCACATCTCTGGCCTGTACCCAACTCTGTATGAATAAATAAATAAATCTTTAAAAAAAAACAACCCTGCACTTGGGGCCCTCCCTGATGGTACAGTGGGTTAAAGCGCAGCACTGTGAAGCTATCACAGCCACTGCAGCACAAGTTCGATCCCAGGCCAGGGGAGTGACCCACCTGGCGAGGCAGACCTCTCCTGATGCTCACTGTTCCCCTCAGCAGTACATTTCAGTCAATCTGCCTGTTCTGCTCCCCACTCTGTCTCTGGTGAATCCTCTCACCCTCCTAACCTCTGACTGGTACCTCAGTTCTTACATGCATAAATAAATAAATCTTTTTTTTAAAAAAAAAAAGCCCTGTACTTGGCCCAATGATTCTTAAATGATTGTGGTTTCAGGATTCCTTTACAGCCTTAATAACTATTAAAGACCTCCAAACCCACATGAAATGAAACCCCAAAGAGCTTTCATTTCTGTGAGTTAAGTCTATCAGTCTATCAATACTAACTGCATTAGGAATATAAATTTTCTTAATTTTTTCTTTAATTCCTTTAATATTGTTTATGTTTCTATCAATCTGTAACAAAACAATATATTGCTTTATATGAAGAAAACTAGTCTCTTAGAAATATACACCAGAAAAGGGAGAAACATAAAGGTTTCTCAGACCTTTTTGAGAATCCTAGGGATACTAAGATCATAATTTATGAACACAATTCTAGTCGTACTGCTTTTTTCTAACTTTGTATGCTTCTCTCTAGCCTAGGCTCTTTTTGTATGCTGTTTTATTATCTAGAAAACTTTCCCCACACACTCCTTGCATTTTCTTTGCTAAATTCTTTCCAGGCCTCAAGATCTCAAAGTCCTTTAAGCTCCACTATCATTTCCTTTAAAAAAAAAACTCTCTGGATTCCTAATTAGGTAAAGCCCTACCTCTACATGTGCCATATCCCTCTTTGGGGATAATTAAAACCATTTTAATTAGGAAACCCAACCCTAATCTTATCTATTTGACATGTTATTTGTTTCTCAAAACCTTCTACCTGACTTCTATCCAGATGTTCCCTTAATACTTATCTCACCCTAAGACTTTTTCCATACCTCCCTATGAACAATGTTTGTATCTTACATTACTTCTGTTATTGCAAAAAAAAAAAAAAGTTACTACTTATCTTTTATAAGACTATTAGCTCATTAGTTCCTTAAATGTTAGAATCTCAGTCCCCAAAGGTAGATGTGGTAGATGGCTTACCAGCATGTGAAAAGATGCTTAACACCATTAATCACTAGTGGCTACAAAAAAGTAAATCAAAACCATAAGATACCACTTCACAGCTGTTAGGACAGCTACTGTCAGAAGAACAGAAGGAACAAAGAATAAGGAAGAGGAGGAAAAGAAAAAATGTTGGCAAGGACACAGAAAAACTCAAACCCTGGTGCACTGCTGGTGATAATGTAAATGTTGCAGCCACTGTGGAAAACTGTAAGTCAGTTCCTCAAAAAATTAAAAACAGAAATACTATATGATCCTATCATTCTCCTTCTGGTTATATACCTGGATTAGTCTGTCTGAGGTGACATGGCAAAATAGGTTGGGTTGCTTAAAAACAAGAGAATGTTACTTTCTCAAGATTCTGCATGTAGGATGTCTAAGATAAAACTATATGGTTTAACTGCTGGACAAAGGGTCATGCATTCATTATAAATGTTCACAAATAATTACCATGTAAGGAAAATACTTCCATTACAATTTCAGTGAAAAAACAAAAAATAATAACATGATTATAGTTTTGTGTTAAAAAAAAAAGCATTCTCTTTAGAAAAAAATCAAAAAGCAATACTTTTTGTACATATACAAAAAAAGCATATGTATTTATTTTATAATCCGAAAAAAAAAATCAACAGAAAAAGTTTTTGCAAATACTTAGCCTGTTTGTTCAGGCAACAAGGAATAATAAAGAGCCTTGGAATTAGAAAAACCAGACTTTATATCCTCATTCTGCAATCTCCTACCTATGAAAACTTGGGCAGGTTAAACTGCCTAAAACTCAATCCTCACCTTTGTAAAACAGTAATAACAGTACTTAGCTAAAAGACTATATGGAATAAATAGAAAACTAAATACAACCCACCATAATAATCAGAGAGCAAATATTAGGCACAGTACACTTAGCAGCTATTATAATTATTTTCATTTCTTTTGGGCAGATGAGGAAGTTCATTTTGTAACAAGTTGCTTAACTATTCCAATCCAACATCAAAAAAATGAGGCAGTTCTTAAAACCATTAAGGGTCTTTGACAGTTCTCTGAATAGATTTAGGATGGAGTTAAAAGGATTTTATAGCAACCTTTCCAGATGATACAATATTGTTAAGGAGTAACACCACATCTAACCACAGTACTCTTACCTTGCAGGCCACATCCACTAGGCGCATCTGGATAGCTTGATTCTCTGGCAGTTTAGTGCCAATTGCAAGTAAAGTATCCAATAGTTGAGCAAGGACTTGATGAGATTCTTAAAAGAAAGATGGGTAGTTGGGTCATAGGATTTCAAAAGGAGTTCACAGTAGATTTAAAAAAAAGTAGATTTTTATCAGCTAGGTTCTATTTGATTTCATTCAGCTAAAGGTAAGTTCTTAAAGGGATCATATCTAAATTTTGAGTCTTGGGGCCTCCCTGGTGGTGCAAGGAGTTAAAGCACAGCACTATGAAGCTATCCTAAGCCACTGCAACATAAGTTCGATCCCTGACCTCTCCTGTCTAGCCCACTGCTCGCTCCCCTTAGCAGTATTTCAGTCAGTCCACTTGTTCTGCTCCCCACTCTTTCTCTGATGAATCCTCTTAGCACCCTCACCCCCCACCTCTGGCCTATACCCCAATTCTTATACACATAAGTAAGTTTTAAAAATAAAATAACCCAAGGGGATTGCAACTGAGATGGAAAAATGCACAAAAATATGTAAAAGTAAACTAATATAATAAAAAAAAGAACAGGAAAAAAAATAAAAGTTAAGTTCTCCTTACAGTTGAGAATAGTGCTCTAAACATGCTTAATGTTGACTAATTGAAGGGCTGTATACTAGCTTCAACAAAATCCAAATTCCTTAGTAATACATACATGTGTTCATACAAAACAATCCCACTGTGATGCCCAACCCTAACTTCCTTTCTAACATCATATCGTTCAAGCTTCCTCTAGCATTTACTTATGCTTTCACGTCACCCCTATCTTTGCTCAGGCTGATTTTCTACCTGGAATACTTCTGTCTACACCTGATACCATTCTTAATCCCACTCCTCAAGTAGTAGTTATTACTTTTGAAATGTCACCTCCTATACAAAACTGGTCCTTCTTCCCTAAGGACTAACCATTTCCTCCTTCATGCTTCCACTACTATATATATCAACTATAATACTTATTTTCACAACAGACTAAACAAAGAAACTAAGATACTTGAGGGCAAGAACTATGCTTTATTCATCTTTATGTTCTCAGATTCTAACATAATTTATTAAGTACTCAATAAATGTTTTGTAAATGTGCAAAGAGCTACATCCAAATAAATCATTATCAATCTTCTTAGCCAGACTCTCTGTGTTTAAACTCTTGTCTTTGTTCTAAAATATGCTTCATAGAATGTTGGTGTTATATAAGAGGATTTTTGGGTAGCATTCAGGTCATCTTTTTATGTAAATAACCATGCATATTTTTAATATACATAATAAAAATTAGTTGACCTCTAGATGTCACATGACACTAATTTCACTTTAAATTACTATCATATAAAAAATTTCTTTAGTGAAAAAAAACTGATCCCTTAAATAAAACATTACATAAACCACAGCATATAAATGTGTAACAGATAAGTCAAAAATGCTAGGTCTTAAATACAGATTAGTAACATTCAAAAGACACCAGTTAAATCACTTCATTAAGATTTCCAGTTAAACATCAGTAGATTGAGTAAATCTGTTTATCTGTAGTTCTTTCTACTACCATGGTAATATAAGAGTAATTTTAAAAGTATAAACTTGCAAGAATAAAGAAACAGATAAAAGTAGCTAGAAGAGAAAAGTCAACAAATTTATGGAGATAGAAAGCAGGTCAAAAACTCTGGCAAGACTGAAAACTTGAGTATTAAATGCCTGCTGAGGATTATTATCAGGACAAAACAAATAAATTCCTGTCATTACACCCCAGTAAGATTCAGGAATTAAGAGATTCGGAAAAACAAACGAAAAGGTGGGGTGAGGGGAGGTGAGGCATGGATTGTTTGAAGTCTATAAAAAACACTTGACCCCTTCCTCCTTCATAATTCAACACAGCCTAGTGACCACTGAAAGAGAGATTTATACTACATAGAAATCGAACTATGGTTTATTCTACAGAGAAATTTGGGAAGGGTGCCCTTCCTGGTGGTACAACTGTTTAAAGCACAGCACTATGAACCTGAAGCTTCAGCACCAGTTCGATCCCCAGCCAGGGAGGTGACCCATGAAGTGCAGCAGACCTCTCCTGTCTTGCCAGCTGCTCCCCTCAGCGTGTATTTCAGTTGATTTGCCTGTCCTGCTCCCCATTCTTTGTCTGGTGAACCATCTCACCCCCTTCACCTCTGCCTGTACCCCAGTTCTTGTATGCATAAATAAAGAAATCTTAAAGTAAAAAAAAAGAAAGAAATGTGGGAAGCTTAGGATCTTGTTCTCAGCCTCAGGTCCTGTCTTTCTAGGAGTCATCACTACAATGCGTAAGGAAGCCCAAGTTGCAGAAGCAGAAGCTGCTGAAGCAGGTGGACTTCCCCAACTGGGAGGTCACTGACCACAATCTGCATGAACTGCTCCAGCTGTGGCATTACGTGCTGCAGCAGTGAGGACCACACACACTGTTCAACCCACAGAGCTGTGCAGTGCACAAGCTAGCACAGTCCCTGTGCTATCTGCTAGAGACAGACCTGTTTCGTGTGCACGCTCTGGCCCCCTTGCTGGATATGCTGTGAACTCTCCATTTAATGCAGCTCTCTTGAGCTCTGCGATGTAGCTGCCATCTCAAACTTTTGTTGCTGCACTGGCATCTGCCCACTGTGCTCCTCAAGCTGCGGATGGGGCAGCTCTGAGTCATCTGAGGAGCATGGCCACATGTAAGTGGGCCTGGATGTGGTCACCAACTGACCCCTGCCTTCCTTGTCATGAGTAGGATGGAGCACTTTATCCTCTGGGTCAACGCCTCCAAGATAAGAGGCACTTACTGAAGTACAAAAGGAGGGAGATGACCTCCATATGGATGCCTAGCAGGCTTTGCCAGAGCTGCATTTTCCCAACAGGAAGACCAAGGTCTGATGCTCGAGATTCTGTGAGGATCCTCTCCCCTAGAATGTGTCAGCCAATCATCTGTTCTTAAGAATTTGGCTCCTCAGCTGCAGACTCTGCACATAAACAGAACACTGGACTACTGAATAATTAAATGACTGCCTTAGCCATGCGTAACATGGGAAGTGGTTTTGTGTTGAGCTGGCGAGTTAAGATTCTTGTGCCAGGAACCTGTAATACCAAGAAGTTTAACCCTCCTTTTCCCCATCACACCCTCCCCTCCCCCAAGCCCTTTCCACACAGCACCAAAGCTTTCCCTCTGTTATCTTGTAGTTGCACCATGTTTCATTTATTTAACTCAAACCCTTGCTCCTGTCTAATTAAGCTGTTGACAGAGGATGTGAGACTTTCGTGTTCATGGTCCCTTGTTTTTTCTTTTAAAAATTTCCTCCCTCCCTTGTTTAAAGGAATGCTTCCCTAATGCCAATAAACAGACCAACTGCTTTGTAAGGCTAAATAAATATATAGAATTCTATCTGGGAAACACCAGATGAGGACAGGGAACAGATACCGTGAAAGAGAGATGGAGAGACAGGCAACATAGTGAATACTGGGGCACCTTACAGTGCCCTTCAGCTGGCATGGCTCCAAAAAGACAGCAATTGGGCATTTCTGTCTTCCTACCAGAAGGCTTAGGAATTTCTAACTGAAAAACTGATAGACACCACACACACACACACACAAACCAGGCTAATATTTAAAATTTCTCCAAAGACATAAAGAGCATCCTAGAGTATAAGTTACCATTTTATAAACCCTAACCACTCATACAGAACTAGAAATCAGCTTTTTAGTGCCTCATCTTAAATTTAATTTTTAAGGCTTATTTTTTTACTCATACAAGAACTGGGGTATAGGCCAGAGATGTGGTGGGTGAGAGGACTCATCAGAGACAAAGTGGGGAACAGAACAGGTGGATCTACTGAAATCTACTGCTGAAGGGAGCAGCAGGAGGGACAGGAGAGGTCTACTGCTCCATGTAGGTCACCCCCCAGCCAGTGATCAAATTCTTGCTGCTGTGACTGCCAATAGCTTGACAGTACTTGGGCCAACAGGGAGGCCCTCATCTTAAATTTAAATGCAAACCTCTAAAATGAAAGAGATCACATGAAGAATATTAATTATTTAGAGAACATAGAAAAAGAAATCTCCAACATCACCATACCATGAGATCATTTATTTCCATTTTCAAAAAGACAAATCTACAGAACTTCCTTGAAAAGCTAGCTAAACTTTTTAAAACTTTAACTCCAATAGGTCGTAAATATTATCTAACTTAAACGCTGCCTCTCCTGAGTTCCAGGCCTACATTATGAACATAGGTATGATGGGTATATCCACAAGGATAGCAAAGAAACCACCTAGTTCAGTAAGCCAAATCCTGCTGAGCTGCTAAATTAACTTTCTAAAACTAAATTTGATTATTTCATGCCCTTACTCAGCATAAATTTTACTGTTTTTACCTTATGTTACTTTTTTCAGTTTTTTTAATCTTTTTTAAAAATTTATATATTTATTTACATAATTATTCAGTTTAAAACAATGTTTACTTCCAGGCCCTCCCTGGTGGGGCAGGGGGTTAAGCACAGCACTAAGAAGCTAAAGCCACTTCAGCATGAATTCAAACCCGGCCCCGGAGGTGACCCACATGGCACCGCAGACCTCTCCTGACCCACCCGCTACTCCCCCCAGCAGTGTACTTCCTTGATCTGCCTGCTGTGTTCCCCACTTTGTCTCTAGTGAATCCTCTCACTGCCCCTGCACCTCTGGGCTGTACCCTAGTTCTGGACTGTACCCTAGTTCTGTAAATCTTAAAAAAACAAAACAGTGCTCCCCAACTTTACCCACCCATCATCACCATAGTCTCTCCTACACTCCTCCCTCCTTCCCATCCCTCTCTCTCCCCTTCTCCTGTAGCATATTTCTGGTTTATAACTGTTTGCTTTTGTTTTGTGTTTGGTATTGTAACATTTTTTTCCCTTTACATCTTACTTGGTTCTCTTATATTCCTCCTATTTTTCTTTTTCCTTCTGACTCTTTCACTGAGCATAATCCCTTCCAGCTCCATTCATGTTGCTGTGAATGGCATGAGTTTCTTTTTTTGATTGCTGAGTAGTATTCCATGGGGTGTATGTGTTTCTTCTTGATCCAATCATCTAAGTTCTAGGCATTTGAGTTGTTTCCAGGATTTACCTATTGTAAATAGTGCTGTAATAATTGTTACTTTTATAGGAACTAAGTGATTCCCACTGCCTACAAAATAACATGCAAAATCCTCAGCTATCCTTTGGCTTCAGAGCAGTTTATAATTGTTTTTCTTCCTTCCTAAAGTCCCCTCCTTCCTGATGATCTCTCATGAAGCAATTTAAATATCTCTTGTAGTATCCTAGTGCTCTCCCTATTACCACACTATTCTTCCTTAGCATTACTCCCCATATCTGATTTCCCAAAGCCACCTCTAAGTCCATCTTGATCACACCAGTCAACACTGCTCTCACTCTCCTTATTCCCACAGAATTCTGATTATACCTCCTTTAAAACAAGCTTTGTGTTAGCATCAGTGGTGTAATATGTACTAAGGAAGCAGTATTCACAGTACTCTTGAATTGCCTAGACTAGTGCTTGCCAAGGACTTACAGCACTCATACACCTGATGAGTTGAAATAAGAATTCTGGTCCAGAATGTGTAAAGCGCACGTTATTGCAGGAAACTCATCATTCTAAGTCTCTGACTTAATGCTAAGCCACAAATACAGAGTGACTTTAGCAGTCACTTTACCTCCTTAGAGTTCATGTTGTTCAGTAATGAAATAAAGAACTAGAGAATTTTGATGGCCCCTTCCAGTTCTATCTTCTATAAATCTTAGTAGAACAGGAAATAGAAATCAGGAAGAGACCTACATCAATTTCTTTGAGACAAGTAAGACAGAACTAAAATACTTAACAAAAACAAAAGGCATTTGCCATACTGAATGCAAAATTTTAATCTCTTTTAAAAGCTAACATGAGGTTTGTGTTAAAACTCACTCTTTCTTACTATGTCTCTATTTTCGTTTCTTTTCTTTTCTTAATGTCTCTATTTTCAAGGTAAAATTAAACCATGGTCTGTAAGAAAGAGCCATGCACTAACTTCTCTGCTCTGCAACTACTTAGATGAATGAACTTACTTCAATATTTCACATCTCTGGAACTTAGCTTTGTCATCTTCAAAATGAAGAAATTAGACAAGATGATCTCTGTAAAGCTATTTATGGCACAAAAAGCCTATGGCTCCATGAAATCCCCAGTCTTAAAGTATGAAATTCTTCAGGTATGAAGGTAGCTATTATGAAAAAGGATACTCTTATACTAATACAATGTAACTGTTTTGACACTTTTACATAAAATTTTTAGAAATATGCCACTATACCTGTTTGTATTTCATATGAAGGTAATGTAGAAACATGAAAAACTACATAATATAATGTTAAAAGAGCATAGTAAAATACTAGCTAGTATACTCACTGTAAGTACAACCATATAAAATATATATGAGTAAAAAGTAGTAATCATAACTTGTTTTATGGAAATAATAGGGATATTTTTACATTTTTTTCTTTAATGTCATTTTATTGGTATTTCAATAAAGCAGACTCCCCTGTTGAGGAAAAGAATGTTATTTTTATTGCTTCTTATGAATTAAAAGTCAAAATTCAATACAAGTAAAATTTTAATATGAAGTTTTTAGCAAAATTCTAAAAATTTTGAACTTCAGACAATGGGTCATATATGTAAGACATTGCTAAAAAGCTGTACAATAAATGAATTTTTAAAATTTAATATATTTATTTATATATATTCTTTTCACATTGGGGGGGCAGATTTGTCTATTTATGCATATAAGAACTGGGGTACATGCCAAAGGCATGGGAAGTGGTGGGTCATGAGAGTATTCACCAGAAACAAGAGTGAGGAGCAGAACAAGCAGATATACTGAAATTCACTGCTAAAGGGATCACCAGGCAAGACAGATTAAATGTTCTGCTGCACCATGTGGGTTACCTCCATGGTCAGGGATTGAATTTGTGCTATAGCAGCAGTGGACCGCTCCATAGTGCTGCTCTTTTAACTCTTTGTGCCACCAGGGAGGCCCTCATTGCTTATTTTCATACAGTGTTTGGATTTCTCCTCTCAGGTGTTATCCCCATAAAATTCACACCACCAAATCACCCATGAGCTATCATAAATCATAAATAACATAAATGACATTAATACCGATAAAATGACATTAAAGAAAAAATGTAAAAATACTCCTATTACTTTCATGAAACAATTCGTTATGATTATTACCTTTTACTCATATATTTTATATGGTTGAGACTATCATCAATAAATAAATTTAAATTGTTTTTGTGTTGACTAGACATTTATAACCACCATATTCTCTTCTGTTTATAGACTAAATGTTGCACATTATTTAAATAGCCATTTTTGCTTAAATATGTGTATACTAACATGAAATAAAACTGCTTTTTGAAAATACAACTAACTCACAAAATTATATTTTCAGAAACAGCAATTAACATGATCTTGTACTTAAAGAATACCAGATAATAAAAATTTTAAAAGGTGAAGGAGTTCTCCATTTCACCTAAATGTAAATAAAAATTTTAGTGAGTATTAAGAAGGAACAAATAGGAAAAGCAACATGTGAGGTCTGAGAGATGTTATTTTTATAGGAGCTAAATTTTAAAGGATGGACAATGAGACCAAAACAGAACCTCTCACAATTTTTGAATCAGTGGCACAGTCAACAAAACATCAGCTCTGCAATATACCACGTAGCCTTGAACAGTATTTTTTCAAGTAGCCTTGAAAAAAATTTGTTAATTTCTTTGAGCTTCAGTTTCTCCTCCTACAGACAAAAACAGCTATTTTACAGCATATGTAAACTACCTCAAGTATGTGGTACTTGACAGAGTTGTTATAATTATTAAAGTGACCAAATTGTATTTTAACTATAAATATATGTTCATGATTTTACTAACTCATCATCAAATTCCTGTTCAATAACAACACAACAAAATTTTTTTTTAATTCTACAGTGAAAGGAACTAAAGGTATTACAGCTTTTATTTTGCAACTTACTTTCATTCTGCAGGATATTAATGGCATCATCCATGATGCAGTCTGGTGAAAATCCTGCAGTCTTTGATAATAAACCCAACAAAGATGCAATTTTCAGTCTGACTGAAGGATCATTCTCCTGGAACAAAAGAAGTTATTGTTACCTTGTGCTCTACCAAATAGGGCAACTTATCAGCTAACCATCAAAGAGGAACATGGGAAACATTTCAAAAGAGATCAGTGATCCAAGTATTTCTAAGGCTTCATTACTGAAAAGTTAACTTTATATACTTCAAGGGAAAGAGCTTTACTCAATCAACATGTTGGGCCTAAATACTGTAAAGTAAATGGGAATTTTTTTGTACGGTTTCTTGATGTCACCAAATTTCAAGCAGAAATGTTCTTTATGAATTCAATGTGGTTTTCCTCCACCATGCAGTGAAGTTAGACATGAGTTACAACAAACTTCACCACCAATGCTGCAAGGACCACCACTCTGGGAGGCCCTGAAAACTGATGCTAAAGCTCCCATGGCTATCATCAGAACAATCTTTCACTCCACCTGCTTTTTTAGCTCACAAGATCCTGATCACAAGTCCAGGACATGTGAGTCTAATCAGCTGAATCTAGGTATTGTGCCTGGGGCCCAAGGAGACTCAGAAATGTGAACAATCAGGTCATTTCAGCTTTGATATTTGGTGGTGGTCTCTAATATGCACCAAGATTCCCTATGGTAAGAAATGACAAATATGGAAAGGAACATGTCTTTTTGTTCATCACCATATCTTAAATATGCAACACAATATCTGGAGCTGAGCAAATGATCAATAAATCTATGTGAAATGTAAAGAAAACTGACAAACCATTAGCTGGAATTAAAGGGAGAAAACCCAAATCAATAGACTCAAGAATGAATAGGCAAAAATTACAACAGACTGCAGAAATACACAGGCTCATGAGAACTATTACAAAAGTCTCTATGCAAAAAACCCTAGATGAGATGAACAAATTTTTAGGTTCATAAAACCTCCAAATACTGAATTAGGCTGAAATAGCTTTAACAGTCCAATCACAGGTGCTAAAACTGAAAGAGTAACAAAAAGTCTACCTAGGAACAAAGCTTCAGGACCAGATACTTCTCCAATCAGGTTTAGCAAACCTTCAGAGAAGGTCTAATATACATCTTACTCAAACTCTTCAGGGAACCTAAGAAGACAGAGCTTCTTCATTCACCACTATTAGCCAGCATAGTATTAGACATTAATGTAAAAGCAACTAGGTAAGAAAATGACATAAGAGGAATCTAAATTGGAAAAGAAGTGAAACTTATTGCACTGTTTGCAGGTAATATGTTAATATATTTAGAGCATCCAAAAATCCCTGCCCCAAAAACTGTGCCCAACAGTCTGTAAATCCAACATCACCCTGTTCCCAAAACCATAGACAGTACAAAAGAAGATAAACAGACCAATATCTGTGATGAAAACAGATGCAAAAATCTGAAACAAAATGAAAACAAGATGCAAAAATCTGAAACAAAATCCTAGCAAACCAAATACAGCAACTTTCAAGAGAATCATCCACCACAATCAAATTGGCTTCATCTTAGGGATGCAAGGCTGCTTTGACATACGCAAACCAATCAATGTCATTCACCAGATCAACAAAAAGGAAGATAACAACCTCATGATTATCTCAACAGATGACAAAAAGTTTTTGACAAAATTCAACATTCATTCATGATAAAAAATACTCAATAAAACAGGAGTAAATGGAACTTACCTAAACATTATAAAAGTCATAAGCAACAAATCCACACTAAACATCATACTCAATGGTGAAAAGCTGAGAATATTCCCACTAAGATCAGAAGGAAGACAGTGTCCACTTTTCACCACTATTATTCAGCATAATATTGAAGTTGTTCTCAAAGCAATTAGATAAGAAAAAGATATAACAGGAATCTAAATTGGACAAGTAGTGAAACTTACTGCAGTGTCTGTAGGTAACATGTTCATACATTTAGAGAAAATAAAAATCTCTGCCCAAAAAACTACTACAATAAAGCAATACTGTCCATTGGTAGGATAAAAAAAATCTATGCACAAAAAAACAGCTGTTTTCTATATGCAAGCAGTGTTTTAGAAGGGATACAATCCTATTTAAAATTACACCAAAAATAATAAAATACCAGGAATAAACCTAATGAGGTAAATGAAGGACCTTTAGGTTGAAAATTGTAAAATTCTGTTAAAGGAAGACACAAAGAATGAAAAACTACCCCAAGCTCATAGACTGGAAGAATTAACATTATTAAAATAGTCATTATCACCTAAAGCAATTTTTGGATTCAATGCAATGTCTATCAGAACACCAAAATCTTTTTCCAGGAAATAGGACAAGCAATTATAAAATTACATGGAATCAATATAAGACCCTGAAGAGCTAAAGCAATTCCTGAGAGGTAAAGAAAAAAATGGATGCTTCACATCCTAACTTCAAACTATATTATACAGCAACAGGAATCAAAACAGTATGGTAGTGGAACAAAAAAAGAAATTCAGATCAATGGAACAGAATAGAAAGCCCAGAAATAAAATCACACAAATATGGATAGTTAATCTTTGACAAAGGAGTAAGACCACAATGAAAAAAAGATAGCCTCTTTAATAAATGGTGTTGGGAAACGTGGATAGTAATGTTTTGAAATGAGATCCATACTTAACTCCATACATAAAAAATGATTCCAGGGCCCTCCCTGGTGGCACAGCAGGTTAAAGCACAGCACTAAGAATCAAAAGGCACATCTGCATGAGTTCGATCCCCGCCTGCCCCGGAGGTCATCCACATGGCGTAGCAGACCTCTCCA